GCTGAGAGCTGAAGGTGGTGGATGGCCTTCTGGGTAACTGTTCCTCCGTGCTGTGTATGGTTGGTGCCGGGTTCTCTTCACACTTGAATGCATGTTCACAAGTGTCTGACATGATCTATTTATATTATTTGTTGAACTTGTCTCCTCCTCCTGTTACCAATCCTCACTTGCTGGTAAGCCTCAGTCATAAACAAAAAAAAGGTAAATACATTATTTTACTATTCTATTTTTTTTTTTTCATTTTTTTTGGACCAAATTTCATATTCACAAGAAAACTCATTTCCCCCATTTTCATGATGGAATTCCATAACTTTACTGACACTATCAAATTTCCCTCTAATCATAAAGCAATTAAGATATTGTTGTTCTGCTCTCAATTAAATATTCAAAAAGGTACTTGATACAAAATGAGGAGGAAAGGGGGGAAAAAAACTTCCTCAGTAGTCGCTTTTTTCTTTTTTGCTCACGTTGGCACATCTGCATTCCTTTAATGTTCAAGTTCTGAAAAGATTTTGTACAGTATATATTTTATGTCTTTGTGCTACTGAGGTAGCTACAGCTCTTAGCTCGTACTTTATTAGTCCCACATGAAAAAGAGCAAACGTTTGTGTTATCTTGTCTTATCTTTTGTTGAATAAAGTTTTAAAAAAATCCTAGTGCCATAAAGTTCTATTTTGCTTGCTGTGGTACAGCATGAAAAATTGATAGAAACCTGGATTGACGAATCAGGTGTTATGTCTAAACTTATAAAGAAAAGTGTCTGGACTGTTTCAAAAATCTTATTTGGAAGGTCAAGGACCCAGTATTGATCCTCTGCCTAATCACAGAAGTCAAGGTGACACTCTCACGGGTGAACACATTGTGCCTATGACACCAACTGTCTGCTATCTATAATCCAGTTTTGAGATCCCTTCTCAGAAGTCTTAACGCCCACTCACATTTTGGGTCATTTTATCTCAGTAAGTCACATGATAGGATAGGGCAAGGTCTCACAATGTATACACCTGAAACCTTGACTGATAGTGACCTATACCTGTTTTCACACCTTGGTTCATGTGATTGGACAGACGATCAATAGTGGGTCAATGACCCTCTTAGGGACACTCCCAAAAAGGCTTAAAAATCTGGGACTCGACCAGTTCCTCTTAGAACTGAAGAAGTTTCTCAAATGAAAGGTGAAACATCTTCAAGAAACTTAAAGTCCAGATGCTTTTCTTTCCAAGTTCCTTAGATTACTATAACCTGGATGACTGAGAACCTTCACAGACAACACCAAAATCAAATATGCAAAATTAAAGATAACAACAATGACACGAGTAAAAGTGTGCAACAGATATAAGAGATTCACATACACTAGACTATTTCTAGATGTGTGTATATATAGTGTGTTTAGATATAAATAAAACCACTTTTTGGGTGAGAAATCCAAACTTCTTGTGGTTTGAATGTCTGACAAACATGTAAAAATTACTTAATGATAGTGCAGAGAATGTACGTTATAGATGGGAGACAAATATGCTCTAAAGCAGGGGTCTCAAGCTCAAATGAGCTGTGGGCCACTGCTGGCACTGTCATCTCACTGGAGGGCCACTTTAGTGTTCAAGTAGTGCAAAAGAAACAAACAAGAAAACACCCACAAATATTTCTGAAAATGTAGTGTTTTTTTTTCTAAATTTCAAATATTGTATAACAAGACAAAATCGCAAACGTGAACGCAATTTTCTTTCCTCACTCTTAACTAACTGAAGCCTTTCATTGAACTACCAAATAAACTAACTGATACTCTCTTTCTGGCCAGACATATGGCAGCACTTCTGCTATAATTTTGTTTGTATTTAACAAAATAAAAATGCAGATATAAGTGTACAC